GCCCACATATACAATAGTGGGATAACTCTTATAGGAATAACTATTTGCTTGTTGATTGGGTTTGAAACACAATGAAGCTATGAGAATCTATATCTAGTACTATAAATCTGCTCAAAAGACCATGATCAGGATGTAGGTTCCAAGTTAGAACTTAATTCTATTGGATAGATAAACTGACATAGCATTGAGCTGCTCTCTAAATATACATGTTTGCCCATAAACAATCATCACTCTCAGCTTTAATCAGAGAAGCCTTTCTTTCCAGGTAAATGCAGTAAATAAAGAAAACCTTACCCAGTACATTATGAGCACTAAAGGAGATAGAAACATATGAATAAAAAAGTCACAAAACAATTATCTTTTTTGCAGATAGATCTAATAAGTAAACTTCAGTAAAATGGCAGTTTATAAGATCAATATGTTAGATTAACATTTTTCATATTATAATAAAGAGTAAGTTTGATGCTTGAAAATAGAATACCATATATACCTGTTCAAAAATAATGTGAATGCTTGTTTTTGCATTCAGAAAGAAATCAGTGAAAATTTTAAAAAGAAAATGAGTGTTCATGGATTATTGCATAATACAGTAAAGATATCATCTCTAAACTTATCTATAGATTTAATGCAATTCTTATCAACATGCCAGAGAGAAATTTTGTGGATATGCTGTTAAAATATACAGAAATGCCTAAATTGCATAATTCCGTAACACTATTGAAAAATAAGAATAAAGTAGAAATAAGTAATACCAAGATGCCATGGTTAATCTTCATTGTCAAATTGACTGGAATTTGGAATCACCTAGGATATATTTAATTGGCCATGCTGTAAAGGTGCATCCAGAGAGGTTTGATGAGGGTAAAATTAAATTATCTTGACTGTAATGATAGAAGGCTGGCATAGTTACATGGATAAATAGAGAAGAACACCAAGCAATGAATATAGATTACTTATTTTAAATATATGTATGAATTCATCATCCAATGCAGGAACATTGATGTTTTTAACAAGTGATTGTGGAGTTAAAAATTCACCCAAACATGTAAACACCCATCAAATTTCAGAAGACACTCTTAAAATGGTAAAACTGAAAAAACATGAAGAAAAAAATCACATGAAAACATCTTCAGGATCAATGGCCAGGAAAAACAAAGTTTAGAATTGACAGTAAAAGTATTACAAAAGAATAAAGGTGAGTAAATTGAACTTTATGAAATAAGTCCACCCTTTAAAAGGAAAACATACTTTCAAATTTCGTATCTGACATAGGACTCATGTAAAGAACTCTGGCATTTAGGGTATGGTGTTACATGTCAATAGTCCAAGCAGTAGGGAGGCTGAGTCAGCAGGAACAGCCTCTGCTACACAGTGAGACTGTCTCAAAAACAATGCAACCTAGAAGCTCTCATTATTTAACACTAAGAAAACAATCCAATTATAAAATTGGCAAAGTAAGAAACAGTTTAAGAAAGCTAATAGACACACAAGAGGTTCCATACTACTAATCATCAGGGAAATGAAACTAGGCCTACAATCAGAATCACTGTATACTCGTTGAGTACAGTTGCAAGTAAAATTAAACTAGTGGCAACACAAAATACTGATAAGGATGTGGAGGAACTGCAATATTCATATATTGGTGATGGGAATATAATATGATCTAGACACTATAGAAAGTAGTTTTTAAGTTTGACTCAACATTTACAATCTTAACTATTTGTTCCTGAGAAATGAATGTATAACACACAAAACTGTCTGTGAATGATTACAGAAGCTTCATTTATAATTGCCCCAAATCTAGAAACAATTTGATATCCTACAATGAATATGTGGATCAGTGGCATCACACTATTGCACTTGCAGAATTACAAAAACATAAAGGTAAAAGGAATGTATAGAACACATTGGGCATATATCAGGGGAATCAGACTGAAAGAATAATTGCTAACCTTTAAAATAACATGTTGTATGGCTACACTTACAGATGAAATTCCAAATGAGAAAAATTATAAAGATGGATAACAGAATAGTGGTATACAAAGATTATAGATTATGAAAGGAAAAAGAAGTACGACCCAAAAAATAACAGGAAAAATACCTATGATGTTATAGAATAACCTTATATTTAATCATGACATTATTACACAAACTTACATGTAATAATTACATAAAATAATATATGGACAGGAAAGAATACAAGTAAAACTGGAAAATTCTGAGAAAGACCTATGAAACAAAACTAAGTCTCCTGACTTTAATAATGAGCCACAGTAATAGAGGTTATTGAGATTAGGAATATTTGACAAGGAAAATATGTTTTGTTTTTGTAACATATTCTGTGAATATATAATATAATTGTTTATACATAAAAATATTTAGAGATGGTGGTATGTAAACAAGATCCAAGATACTATGTTTATTTTACTTTAGACTTACTTAGTATAAAATGTACAAAAATTTTTTGTAAAAATAATGTCTTTTCTTGGTCTTTAGTTTCTATTATATATATTTTTATTGATATTATGATCACAGTTTCTCCTCTCCCAGCCTGCTGTTCTTTATTAACTGAAGTTTTATGAAGATTATTTACAAAGTTAAATTTTCCTTGATTCAATACATTAGTTTCTCTTAGAACAAAATTAGAATCTTTAGAATTTACCTTTGTAATTTTAAGCAGGAGTAATAATTATTTCAAACATCTGGATAGTTTAAAGTGCTACTCCTTCTAAATATTAGTTCACTACCTAAAGCTATTGTAATTATTCCACACAAAATAGTTATTCTGTTTAGTTTATAATACCACTACTTTTTAAATATTTAGTGTACTACTTAAGACTACTTGAGAATAAAGGTAAACATCAAATTAAATAGATATTATTTACATTATTGTATTGCAAATTTATTGTTATAATTTGTTCTTATTTGAATAAATAGAAATATAGTATTTTTCTAAATAAAATACAGCTTTGATTATTATATTCTAATCATTTTAAAGTATGAGATTTTCATCTGTACTACTCTGTGAATTGATTCAAAAGCTGTTTCAGTGGGCTCATGTTTGGGAATATTTGACATATTTATTTTCCCACTATTTCTACATGTGACCAGACTTACTAAAATGTGTCTTGATGAACACTGAACTTTAAAACATTATGTAATACAATATAAATGGACCAAATAGAAGTGAATACTAGTGCATATTTTCCAATTGTCCAACAGTTTAAGAATATATCAAAGCATTAATGCTGTGAAGAAAAAAATTTTTGTGATTATTTTTAAATTAAATATCCTCCTGTTTTGTTTTGTTTTGTTTTGTTTACTGAGGAGTCTTAGAGGTGAAAAGATGATGAAGTCACCACCAAAGGGACCATGTGGCACAATGTCATTATAGGCAATTGACTTGGTTAATTTATTTGGCAAAGTCTATAGAAAGATAAAATCAAACACTCAATTTCAATGACTGGTCAGTTTAGTTAGAACATTTTATTCAAACAAAAAATGTCAGGTTGGTGAGTCATTTTGGATGCAGTCTGAATGGATTTTTCTGTCAGGAAATCCTAGAATGCATAAACTTTTACATGTTCACATATTAAAGTCCCATGCAAAATTCAAGTTATCATTTGAGGCATTTATTATAATAGTAACCACTCAGTTTTGCCAGGTGCAGAAATCAGTAGGCTACATGAAAAATAGCAGCATTTCTTCATTTTTGGAATTTCGTTAATAATGGCAATGTTGGCATTTTATAGCTTCCAGAGCTATAAATCATCAATAAAAACATGATGATATTCAAAGCAGATGTGAAAGCATATGTTTGCTACAGTTGTATAAACTGCTTACTTGTCATACTTAATAAATGTTAAGACTTACACAGTAACTTGTTCCCTTTCAGTACCTGAAGTCTATTTGAGAAGAATACATTTGCCTTACTATCTCAAATACAATGAGTAGAAGGTGAAATGAAAAGTCATTTTTTAAGGAAAACTTTCCATTATAATTTGGATGTAGTTTAACATGCTAGTTATTGTCTATTATTGTTCTCATCAGTATATGATCAAACTATTTGTGTCATTCAGAAGAAATAGATAAAGAAATACATTTAACTGTGTGTTTTATGAAAATAAGTTAATGTGCCTATATCCTCATGTTCCAGCAGTGTACAAAGAGCTCTATCTTGTTAGCTAGAATTTCATTACCTGCATAAGAGTTAAAGCACTCTAATATACCGAACCTGACTTGTTCCAGTCTGACAACTATTCTGTAATCAATCATATGCACAGTACAGTCCCAAAGGGTATAGTCTTTCAGTGTCTGGCTAAGAAAATACTAAACATGTGGCAAGGAAACCAACCATGGATCAATGAAATTAAAATCATACACTTTTCCAAATTAAAGCTAAAATGCTCATCTAGGTAATAATGAAGCAAGTTAAGTCTCCAGAAGAAAGAGAGAATTGTCCATTAACTATTCATCATACTGAAACTTATGTTCTGAATAACATGGACATTTTAATAGAGATAGAAAATATATCCCTCTATAAAGTAAAAACAGATCATTTAGTGATCTTATATAGAAGTGTGAGTTACTATTCAACTCAGTGTGACAGCAATAATGCATAGCTTATAACAAATGATTATATATCCTCCTACACTTTTATGTCTTTAGCTTTCAGTTCCAGGGAGAATCACTTGAAATTGTTCTACTCCCTATCCTCTACAAAGATATAGTTTAAGTTAATATGCTTCAGCAGATCATAAGCCTGGTTGAGGACATATCTATCGGTACTCCAAATAATTACTCAGTAGATTATCTTGGCAAGATTTCATTTGATATGTCCAAATTTCGAATATGACAGTATTAATCTACTCTGACTTGGATAAGATACCCAATACTGTGGTGTTTAGTGTTTGATCTCCATATATATATATATATATATATATATATATATATATATATATATATATATATATATATCAAATAAGCCAAAATCATTTTACCTTTATTATCCCTTTGGAATTTTTTCATGGTTTGTCCATTATCTTGATCAACAATAAGTTCTTCTCTATTATTGGGCATCATAACTAAAAATGAAAAAGGGAACTCAGTATACTTTCATGCAAAATATGCAAAGAAATTCATAGAAGCACATAAATGGCTAACATAATCCAACAACGAATATATATTTTATATACTTCTTTAACATAAGAAAGATTTGCTATGATACCCATATATCTTGAAAATAAGTGTGCTGACTAATCATGTGATTTTTAAAGTATCATTCATAATTAGTACTAGCACTATTGGTAATATATAGCATTTAAATCGTGTATGTATTTCTTCTTTTAAACAAACATACAAATTAGTATTTAGCTCCATAAATAACACTTTCCTCAAAATACTTCAGAAAAGAATTTATCACATAATAAATCATGAGGCTAAAATAATTTAGCCTTCAACTTACCTTGGAAAATTTCCCAAATATATATATATATATAATTGATAGTAGAATATAATTTTCTGGCACTTATTGTGAGTCTTTACAAAACATTGATACTCCAGGAAACAAAACATACTAATTAGCAATTTATCATTTCATTCTCTGTAGTCATATTTCATTGACACAGTTCTATAAATAAGATACAGTCATTTTACAGCTAAAATCTATGAAACCTTTCCATTTAACTGTAGATAACATTTCTGTTATGCTTAAGCAGCTGTAAAATGTGCATACAGTGACCAATCACTGTAATTACATATACACTATTTGTCAATAATTTTTCTAAGATATTAAATTGCCTATGAAATATTTTATTTTATGTTGAAGTGTAAGTTATCCATTCTCTTATGCCACATCATTCAGCAATATATTTCCCTATATGTTCAATTTGTATCCAGTACTCAATAATTGATTCTCTCTCCTGTATAGATAGATACAAATTATATAGACATAGATACCTTTCCAATTTTCTTTCAATATCCTAATACAAAATTATGACAAAGAATAATGCATGCTTTAGTTTCTTGATTCCTTAAAATTATTCAGTTACAGCTTCTTGTTTTGCTTATATTCCTTGTAATGATTTTTACTCACATTTGTAACAACTACATAGTCTATGTTCATAAACTAGAGGAAAGTTATAAATATCTCTTTCTGTAATAAAAATTAGTCACTAAAGACCAGTAGCCTCAAGCTGTTATTCATCATTTCTTTAACTTTACTGGACTTTAGAATCTCCCAAGGAGATGTTGAAAATTATAACATGTTGCTTCTTGAGCTGTGTTCTAGATCAAGTGAATTAAATTCATAGTGTGCTGAAAAAACCTCCACAGGTGATTATAATATAGATCTTAGTTTAAGAATCACTGAGCTAAGTATGGAACTAGAATTCAGGCAATATATAACACTGATACACATACACTTGGATGAAGTTCCACAAAGAAGAAATTATCTTTATCTCTCCATAGCACAAATCTAGAACAGAACACATATCCTATTCTCCTAAATTCCTCTCCTCCATCAAAGTCCAATTGTTTGGGAGAGTGTAAAACAAGCACTAATATGAGCTGTAAAAAATCTAGAGGACATAAAATATTGCCAAAGATAGTTTGCTGACAAAAAAAGCAAAAAAATCATTTTCCCTCAAGGAAATACATACATAGGATATTGGATTGTGTAGATATAATAGAGCTATGAACATTTTACCAATCAAAAATAATGCATAATTATTTTACACTGAGAATTTATTATAGCTGAGTGTTCCTGACAATTTCTGTATAGATGAGTAAGATCATAGAGAATAAAATGTTAAGCAAAGTAAAAAAAGCAAAAATATATTTATCTCCTCATATTTCCTTAGTCCTTTTACTTTGTAAAGTGTTTTTCCCTCAGAGTCAAGGTTATATGATCTCATAATAATTCAGTGCAACAGTCATGGAAGTAAATACTTCCATATTATAGGAAGAGAAAATAATAATGCTTAAATGGTCTACCCAAAAATTTAAAGACAGCTACTATAAAAGTCCTATGGACAAATTCAAGTGTCTCATAGGCCCTATCACAACCAATTTCTAAGACGTAAAAGATAGGAATCAAAAAAAGTAGAGAAAAACATTTTTCAACATTGTAGCATAGTGTATGTTGATTTGCTTTTTAGCTACTTTTAAATGACTGTCTGAAGGATATTTTATCTCAAGTATCCCAGAGATGCTGTATCTGTTATAACTATAGTGTATAATAATAGATGGTATATATCAACATATTCATCTGAGACTTATATTTTACCAAAAAAATTTCTTGATATCTATCAGTACCATGAAATTGAGGGATACACTAAAGGAAGACCTTGCAGGGAAAAAACTCAGACACTTTTCATTGTTTTATGTATTACTTCAAAAACCATGATTACTTCAAAAGTCATTTATATGAAATAAGTGGCATCTCCTCCAGGATCTTCTTCTTGTCTCAGTTGTGGGATATGGAATTGCCTGAAAGACTATCTCCCAATTACTTGCTTCAGGGCAGACACTCACCCATTCTCTCTGAAGGATGATCCATCTGGGAAGGAGAGCTGGACACACTGCTGCTTGGGTGTGAGGAGGTCTGGCTCCCAGGGCGATGATTTTCTTCCAGAGAGGGAACAGGAGAAGGAGTCTCTGGGATCCGCTCCTGACACAAAATGAAACACAAAATAATTCACAAATGCACTGAAATTACCCAGACAGTTTTGGCAATAGCATTGGAAATATTCACTTCTCACTTATCCTGAAAGTGCACATAGCACACTACATGGACTTAAATACTTAAAAAATATTTTTAAGAAACTAATGCCATGTAGTTAGAAATATATGATAGAGGGTGGTGAATGGTTCAAAGGAAGTTAGGTTCAGTTTTCTTTCTGAAAATTATCTTTCACATAAATGAGAACATAAAGAGATATATCAGTGGGTTAGGTGTATGAATAAGGACCTGAGTTCAGATTCAAAGTTTCCATAAAAAAGAAGTTGGCATGTCAACATACACCAATAACCCCAACAATGGGAGGAGCAGATACTGGAGCTCATTGATCTGTGAGCTCTAGGTTCAGTGAGAGACTGATTTAAAAATGTAGCTAGAGTTTTCTCCAGTCCTCCTTGGGCCGCAGCCACTCAGACCCAAGTAAACACACAGAGACTTATATTAGTTATAAACTGTATGGCCGTGGCAGGCTTCTTGTTATCTAGTTCTTATATTTTAAATTAACCCATTTCTATTAATCTACAAATTGCCACGTGGCTTGTGGCTTACCTGTACTTTTACATCTCACTTCCTCTGTGTCTTGCTGGTGACTCATGACTCAGCCTTCCATTTCCCGGAATTCTCATCTCTCCTTATCTTGCCTACACTATACTTACTGCCTGGCTACTGGCCAATCAGCGTTTTATTTATCAATTAATCAGAGCAGCACCTTCACAGCATACAGAAAGACATGCTCAGCACAGAAAGAAAAACTAGAAAAGAAAAAAGCAGTTGAAAAACACATGCAATGTAATTTTAATATCTGGTCTCAAAATGAGTACTTGTACAGGTGGGGAGAGAGAGATGAGAGAGTGAGAACTCATAAATGATTGTAAATATAGGTGTGGCATGATGGTGATTTTTATCACTAATGTCTAGACTGATAACTGTTCATGCCAGGGTCTAAAGAGTAACATTACTTTGCAATTAAGGAAAATTTATAAGTACAGATTCCTAAGTACTCTAGAAAAAGTGTTAAATGGTGCATGTGATACACCATGGCTAGTTTTTCTGAATGTGAGAATTGCTGTGGGATGGTCTGTATGTCAAATGTGTTGCTGATTGGTCAATAAATAAATCACTGATTGGTCAGTGGCCAGGCAGGAAGTATAGGCGGGACTAACAGAGAGGAGAATTGAGAAAACAGGAAGCTGGGTGAGGGAGACACTACCAGCCGCCATCAGGATAAGGAAGATGTAAAGTATCGGTAAGCCACAAGCCACATGGCAAGGTATAGATTAATAGAAATGGATTAATTTAAGCTGTAAGAACAGTTAGCAAGAAGCCTGCCACGGCCATACAGTTTGTAACCAATATAAGTCTCTGTGTTTACTTGGTCGGGTTTGAATGGCTGTGGGACTGGCGGGTGTCAGAGATTTGTCCTGACTGTGGGCCAGTCAGGAAAACTCTAGCTACAAATGGCGCCCAACGTGTTGGCAAGAGTTTCCACCTAAAAACTGAGAAAAAAGATTCTAAAACAGAGCTAAAAACAACTTCCTAATTGTCTCTCTCAAATGAGCGGCAGCTGCCGGTTTGAGCTACTGGCGGGTTCCTGGCGTGCCTGCTCGACCTGCCATCGTATGGCGGGGATGAGGCCTCTGCAAGTGGCACATTAAGCTGCATGGTGGATTTAGACTTTGCTAGCACAAAACAAAACAAAACAAAACAAAAGAGTATTTTGGGCTACACGCAGCTTGGATAAAAGCTTAGAGACCCATGATAGCTCCCAGAGCTGGTGGTAAACTACCGCGGCCGCCATGTTGGGAAGCTGAGGTGGGCGGAGCCAGCAGCCACAGCTGCTGCAGTTTAAGGCAATAGATTCACAATAAGACAGATTCAGATGTAATAGTTTACAATGTGTGTAAAATGTACGTAGGCTTGAAAGAGACTAAAAAGGTGATATATACAGTTATATAAACAAATACATAGTTTTAAAAAATAAAGTCTTTAAAGAGACAGTAAAATTAATATAAAAAATAAGCCATGTGAAGATGAATATTACACAGAAAATCTGGATTGTGTTGTCTTTGGGATTTTTAACTGCAGAAAAACATTTGATTGTAAAAGCTGTTGAGTTATGCCAAAATGTATATTTTAAAGGTACCTTGACTTCAAAATTTAGATATAAGGATATGTTGCTTTGGAAAGGAGATTCTGCTTTTGTTCCCACAGAAAGCCAGAGGCTATGGATTTGTTACAGATTAAGATACATCAGGTTTGACCAGCCAAGACCCCCTGAAAGGTGACACCATGGCCCAGATGATCCAACATCCAGAACCTTTTCAAGACAACTGGCTCAGACAATACACCCTCATGGACTACTCCATAACCCTAAAATATTCCTTGTGTCCCCATAAGATACAGCGCCCCCCTCCAGCAGGAAGTAGTAAGAGAAGCTACGCCCAAATTCCCAAATATACCAAGCTGACTTTGGAGATGTGTAAAGGTTAAAGCCTTCCTTTTTAAGAAAAGAAAAGGGGAAGTGCTGTGGGATGGTCTGTATGTCAAATGTGTTGCTGATTGGTCAATAAATAAATCACTGATTGGTCAGTGGCCAGGCAGGAAGTATAGGCGGGACTAACAGAGAGGAGAATTGAGAAAACAGGAAGCTGGGTGAGGGAGACACTACCAGCCGCCATCAGGACAAGGAAGATGTAAAGTATCGGTAAGCCACAAGCCACGTGGCAAGGTATAGATTAATAGAAATGGATTAATTTAAGCTGTAAGAACAGTTAGCAAGAAGCCTGCCACGGCCATACAGTTTGTAACCAATATAAGTCTCTGTGTTTACTTGGTCGGGTTTGAATGGCTGTGGGACTGGCGGGTGTCAGAGATTTGTCCTGACTGTGGGCCAGTCAGGAAAACTCTAGCTACAGAGAATATTTGGAAACTTCAAATATTTCAGAATATTCAGGCTATCAGAATTTATAGCAGACATATGCTGAATTATATCAACAAAATCTTTTAAAAAATCGCAAGATGTAATACTGTGTGGTGATATTTTATTTGTGCTCTAACAAATAAAGCTTGCCTGGGGATCAGAGGACAAAGCCAGCCACTATCTTAAACATAACAGTTAGGCAGTGGTAGCATACACCTTTAATCTTAGCATTTGGGAGGCAGAGATTCATCCAGATCTCTGTGAGTTCAAGGCCACACTGGGAACAGAGCATACACCTTTAATCCCAGTGCTAGTTAAGTATAGAGGTCTGGAGGTCTGGATAGACCAACAGGAAGTGATAGAGCTGGGCAGAAAGAGGAAGTGATGTAGCTGAGCAGAGAGAGGAAGTAAGATATCAGGGCACAGAAAAGTATATAAGGGGTGAGTATACAGGAAGTAGCTCTCTTGGACTGAGGATTTCCTAGCAGTAAGAACTTGTGGCTGACTTGTTCTGTTCCTCTGATCTTTCAGCTTTCACCTCAATATCTGGCTCTAGGTCTTTTATTAATAAGACCATTTATCAATTCGTGTTATGATACTTTGTTTTTACAAACTAACAAAAGTCTACCAATGTCAATTCTTTAGTATTGCTTGGATTTTTATAATTGGAATAAAGAATCTTAATAAAAATTAAATATTTTATGTGCTTTCATGGTATCTGGTATGACTTTTAGGATTCATCATTATAAAATTTCTATAAAACACTCAAGCTCTTCAATATGTTTATGAATTTTACATTTACAGTTCAATCTGAACACTGTTAATATGATCAATATAAAGACTGAATTGTAGTGTTTATGCACATATGGAATAAATATGATTCACCAATATACATGTAGATACATTAAATGTTCTATAAAGTATTTAATTCATCCATAATAAACTCCTTACACCAAATACTAATTTTCTATAATTACATCATCAACATTTCAGACTTCATAACATTAAGAATTAGTTTAGGAAGTCTGTGCTTGTATATTTTCATATTGATTTGGCATGACAACCTCAAAATTTATAAATCACCTAAAGAAAAACTTTAAATAAAGATAATGAAATGATAATTAAAAGTTATTACTTCATTAGTAGTCATTAACATTTTACAATATCTGTCATTTTAGCAGGCAGAATGAGGCCACTTTTCTTTCAAAGAATCCTATCTTATATTTCAATTGCCAGGAATCTGACCATATATATTATATTACATAGCTAAGGGAATATCCTGATGTGATTGAGACTATTATGTTAGGCTTATCATATTAGTTTTATTGAGTCCTATTTTATTACAAAGTTTTCTAAAAATGTAAAAGATTTAAAAAAGAGTATTAAAATGATGTTATATTGTTGATGATGGAGGTAAAGCAGGCCATGGAGTCAAGAAGCAAAATGGTTTCTAGAAGCTGAAAAATACAAAGAAACATATTCACTTTTGGACCCGGAGAAAGGAATATGGGTTTGCTAGCACCTTGATTTTGGCCTCATTAAACCTGTCTTATTTTTTACCTATAGAATTATAACACAATGGATTTGGATTGTTTAAAGCCACTGAATTTATGATAATTTGTTATAGTAACACTAGAACGCTGCACTGGTTAGTTTTTTGTCAACCTGACACAAACCACAGTCACCTGAGAAAGTGAAACCTCAATTGAGGAATTATAAACATTAGCTTGTCCTGTAAGCACATCTGTGGGGCATTTTCTTGATTAAAGCTTAAGAAGAAATACAGTCCTCTCAATTGCCTTCGGGTATATTTTTCTCACAGGAAAAAAGCAAACTAGGCCAAATACTAATATAGTTATCATTGTACCATTTTTTGTGCCATTACAATTTTAAAGTTGCATTTTAAGTTATTACTTAGCATTTAGGTAAAATTAAATAATTTTACTGAAAATAGTTGTAGACATTTAGTATACCAGCTATAGTATTTGTATTAAAAACAGTTATTATAAAT